AACACTAGAGAAAATCCTGGCTAACTGGGATAGATGATTGTTTCCCTTGCATGGAACATTTTTCTTTTTTTCTCTTTTTCTTTCTTTCTTTCTTTTTTTGTCTTTTTCAAACAGGCTTTCACTATGCAATGCAGTTCAGCCTGGCTTTGAATTCACGTTGTAGCTCCGGCTGGTCTCAGACTTGTAGAGATCCTCCTGCCTCAGCTTCCTGAGTGCTGGAGTTATAGACATGCACCACCATGCCCAGCTTAAGAACTTATTTTTGTAGAAAATAAGTGATACATGGCTTAAAAGATGATTTAATCATTGAGAGAAGAAACGCAATAGTGTCTGATACACTAGGGTCTTAAGTGTTTGGTTGGTTTTATTTATTTCATCTATTTATCAGGTGATGCATAGGCATTATTCTGGGCCCTTTGGAAATACACATATGTATATGTATATAAAAAGTTATAAAAATAAATAAATTAATAAATCCTTGACCCTGAAGTCATACATACTCGAGATGGGATAAAAATTTACTGCCTGGTTGTTCTTATTAAGACAGATGTGGTCCTTTAAAGAATTTAGATGCTTATGATTTTTTTTTTTTTTTTTAGTTTTAGCTTTTTGAGACAGGATCTCACTGTGTAACTCAGGCTTCTCTGTAACCCTCGCTGGCCTGGAACCTCTTGCCTCAGCTTCTTGAATGTTAGAATTACAGGTGCCACCTCATCCAGCTTTCTCTTCATATCAAAATTTAGTTGCATCCTTAATAAAACATTAAATGGCTTTTGTGTTTGTACTTTTCTATACTGGATTTTATGTTTTGTAATAAGTATGCCTTATTGACACAATCAGAAAAATGTGAAATTATTTATTATAAAAATAAAGTAAACCTTGATTGCTTCTCGTTCAGTTCCATTAGGTCTCAGTAGGAGGTAGACTAATGCAGTTTAATGCATTTTCTTGTCTCAGTCAACATTAACTCCAGTCCTCCAGCCTAATTCATAAATTCTGAACATTTTTTTTTTTTTGAGGCAGGGTTTCACTATGCAATTCAGACTGGCCTTATAGCCCGGGCTGGTCTCAAACTTGCAGTGATCCTTTTGCCTTTGCCTCCTGAGTGTTGAGATTACAGGTGTGTGCCACCATGCTCGGATGAATATATATATATATATATTTTTTTTTTTTTTTTTTTTGGTACCAGTGATCAAACACACGACCTCACGCTTACTAGACAAACCTGAGATAAATCCCGGGCCCCTTGGTTGAACGTATTTTTAATCTCCACATGCAGTTAACTATCTCAATTCTGTCAGTTGTCCCTTTAAATATCTCCCAAACACACCTCCACTTGTTTAGATCTTTATCATCTCTCAGCTAAGATTATATTTCCATATCACCTTTCCGCTTTATCTATCCACGTCTAGCTGTCTCTTCTCCCTTCAGCACCATCTCTTGAATCTATGTAAGAGCCTTCACTGGCTCCTCACATCTGTGAAGGTCTAAATCAGAATGCCTCATAATCTTTACCCTATAAGTACAAGTTCCAATGCTAGCTTTGCGTCTTGCTTCTTTTCCAGAAGTACAACACTCAGCTACCTTCATTTCTCCTGGGTATTTGTGGCTTTGTCTCTTCTTGTGACCTTTCACCTTATTTTCCCTTTGCTTGAAATGTTCTTTCTGTCAGACAACCTAACTCCTACTGGTTCAGAACGTGGGCTGGGTTAGCATTCCTCCATTCTCCTTTCTCAGGAGTCAGTTATGATAATTTTTCCATTTGTTCCTGCTATGTGCATCAGATAATAACAACAGTAACAATCACTAATACTGATTGCATACTGTTGTTATATGCCAGGATGTGTATATAATGCTTTGCAAGCATCATCTCATTTAATACAATGAACCTGTTATGTAGCCTCCCCCTCCACTCTGTTTTAGAGATTGAAGCCAGGGCATCATACATACTAAGGATTTTACCACTGAGCTAAATCTCCAGATTACTTTATTTTATTTTGGGACTAGGGGTTGACCCAAAGGCCTTCACACTGAGCCATCCCTATGCCTATCCTTTTCTTTTTAATTATTTTTTTTTTATTTGACACAGGATCTTGCTACGTCATTAAATTGGCAGGGCTGGGCTCCAATTTGTAATCCTCCTGCCTCAACCTTCCCATAGTGCTGGGATTACAGGTGTGCACCACCATGCCTGGAAAGTAGGCAATTTTAAAAGCATTTTTTAGCCAGGCGTGGTGGTGCATACCCTGTAATCCCAGCATTTGGGAGTCTAAGACAGGAGGATTGCTGTGAGTTCGACCTGGACTGGACTACAAAGTGAATTCAAGGCCAGCCTGAACTGCATGGCAAGACCCTATCTCGAAAAGACAAGGGGGGGGTATCTTTTTATTGTAACACTTATTCCATTGTTTGGTAGACAGTCTTATTCATTTTTATCTCCCTGCACATTTGTACATGTGTTTTGGGGAATATGATTACTTCAACATTAGCATTTAACTAAGCTTTGATCCCAAGGATTGAGTGATAGGAGATTTTTCAGGCAAGTGATGAGAGATGCATGGATTCCGGTCAGAGGCTTTCCAGCATCTCCAAGCACATCGCACGGTTTACCTTTATACAGGATGATAACATCATTCTGCTAGTTGCTTAAGGAAATAACCTAGAGTTACCTTGCTTACTACCTTTCTTCATAGTTGCACCTCAGGGAAGCATCCTGAAATCTTTTATCTTCTATTTCCATAGTGACTACCCCTAATCTGGGTAAATGCCATTTATCTCCGCCTTCTCCAGCTATTTCCTGTTGCTTCCTGGTTTCTCCTAGTTCTGTTTCTGCTCCTCTGCAGCTCATTTCTTTCCCTCCCATTCTTTCTTCTCTCACCCTTTCTCTTTCTCTTCTTTCTTAATGTGGCACTGGGGATTAGGCACATGGCTTTGAGCACACCAGGCCAGCACTCTACCACTGAGTTAGCGCTCTAACGTTTTTACTTTTTACTTTGAGATAATTGCTAGTTTTCCCTGGCTTATCTTAACCTTTGTATACTTCTGCCTCACTGTGCTGGGAAGCAGGTATTATAAACATGCATTCCTCACCCAGCTTCTCCAAATCATTTTCTTATTTTTTTGATGGATAGTGGTTTGAGATAGGATTTTATTATGTAGCTCAGGCTGGCCTCAGCCTTCTGAGTACTGTAATTACAGGCATGTACCACCAAGCCTGGCTCCAAGTCATTTTCTATAAAACAGGTTAATTTTAAAATCTCCAAAAGCCTTTATTAGCTTTGCTTTGTACTTAACAAAAACAAAACAAAACAAACAAAAAAAAAAAAAAGCAAAAAATACAGTTATATTCCTGCTCAAAGCTCCAACCTCAATTGTTCCTCCTCCACCCACAGCGAGCTTTGGCCTCTTGATCTTCTGTTCCTCAAACCAGCCCAAAATGTTCAGCACCTAAACTTCACACTTACCACCTGTCTAGATTCTCTGCATGGTTGGCATGCTAACTTCTCTTTAGTTAGGTCTCAGCTCAGGTTACCTCAAGAAAGTCACCTATACTTTTGTCTTTGGAAAATCTAAGAGATTACCTGTGTGTCTAAAATATGTTTTAAATTTTTCTGTATTTCTATAATGAAGCCCAAGAGCCCTGTATTTGATTAGGCACTATTTCATATCTTCCCCTAACCACTGTTTTGCCTTAACTGATCAGTAACTACAAATGTCTTATTTACTCGTTTTATTATTTATCTTCACTAGAAACACAAGCTTCTACGTGCAAAGGCTGCTCCTGTTTTATTCACTGCTGTATTCTTAGCACAAGGAACACTCACAACTTTTTTTTTGAAAGAATGAGACAATGAAAAAGCAAGCATCTTAGGTGGTGTTTGTATATAGGGTGGTCAATAGAGTCCCACCAGAAATGAACCCATGTCCTTATTGCCCTTTAACTGGAGAGAGGGCAGAAGTCAAGTACAAAAGCAGTTGGGATCCTGCAGACCCCTTTGCCAAACAGTTGGCTGAAGCAGCCATCATAATTGTCACAGAAGAAGTAACACTGCGGAGCAATGACCTCGGGCACTAAACTCAGCTCAAGGTTGAGGACAGTGCTACTTTGGGTAACAGGTGCTGCCTGCTGTGGGTGGCCACAATTTTATGAGTTCACGGTGCTAACAGGTCTACAGCGAACAGTCAGTTCTGGGAAACCTGAGTCATTTGTCCAGGGTGTCCTGACCTAGACAGGAAAGGCCATTCTATCAGAGCAGAGATGTAGTGGCTGGGCCAGGTAGCCCACATTGGTGTGAGCCTCTTCACGCTCTGCTGCTCCCAGCCTTCTCTTTCACCTACCTTTATCCTAAATTCTTCTACGCCTTCCTCCTCATAAAATCTAAACGATTGTTATCTAATCTGAGTCCTACAAGTCTCTGCATCATTTTTTTTTTGATAATGAACTCTCAAGGACTCGCTTAAATTACTGATTGTCCCTTTTTTTTTTTTCATGTGACTTGTCTCTTTTATGTAGTTCACATGCTGCTGAAGGACACAGTCAAGGATGATTTAGAGCACAAATGGGCTCCTAACAAAGGTACTGGTTAGGGCTTCTATTTTGTTCCTTGATGGTTAGTTTCAACCACATGATCCAGCGTTCCACAAAGAGCTCCTCCAAGTCAAGAAGCAGCGCCTGACTCCCTAGTCCCAGGCAGGGTGTCGTCTGGGACTCGCAGGAAGTTATCTCGGTCCTGCTTCTACTGCACGTGCGGGTGGGGAAGGACAGTAAAGCTGCGGACATCAGCTACCGAGACGCCAGGGCGAAGCGGGCGCTGGGGGTGGAGACCAGCGAGGGCTCCGGGCCGAAGACCCGCGCGCCGGGGAAGGGCGGGGCGGTGGGCGGAGCCAGGCGCCCGCCGGGACCACCAATGGAATCCCGAGCCCGAGGGCAGAGCGCGTGACGCAGCCGGCTGGGGGCGGGGGGTGTGGATTGGCCAGTCGGGCGCTTTATCTCGTCTGCGGCGGGCGCTGTCGGCGTTGCGGGCCCAGGGCGACGGGACGTCTTCCCGGGGCCGACCTGTGTGCTGGTCCCGGAGTGACGGGTTTCCGACTCGGTCTCTCGACGGAGGCTCCCGCAGCCCGGCGGGCTTGGGCCTCAGGTAACGCCGGTACTCCGGTTCCGCTCGCTTCCCGTCCGGGTCGCACCCGCCTCAGCCCGAGGGCAAGGGAGAAGGGTAGCGGTCGCCGCGCCGGCCCCGGGCCTGCCTCGTCTGTCGCTGCCCCCGCCGCCGCGGGAGGGCGTCTCGCATGGCCGGGGGACCTTCAGGGGGAGGGCGGGAAAGTTAGCGTCCGGCATCCGGTGTACTGGTAGCCCTTTGAACCTTGGATTCTTGTTTTGGTGTCCCTCAGATTCAGTGGCATCTCTCAAGCCAGTGGTAAAAGAAAGTTTAAGCGGAACCAAAAGGCATTCGGCTTCTTGCTGATTTACGGGAAAAAGGTGTGTGCAAGCAAGGATGGCACTACCAGACATCGAAATCTGTGTGGGGCTATGTGCACCAGATAATCACACTTAAAGGATTTTTGTGGTCTTTTTTCTTTTCTTTTAATTGTTTTATTTTGAGACAGGGTCTCACTGTGTAGTTCAGGCTGGTCTGGAACTCATACCGACCCTCCTGTCTCAGCCTCGAGAGTGCAAGGATTAGAGAAATGTGTCACCACGCGTGGCCTCAAGCTCACATTTTGTCTTCAGACGTTGAAATGCAGTTGTCAAGTTTCTGTCTTTGCGCTTCAATGTTAATGGCCATGAAATGTAAGTGATACATCACATGTATGTGAAAAGTGACTATAAGCTTCATTTTCTACATTTGTTTGTAGGTTAAGATCTTTGGTCATTTTAAGTGGTTGCCACTTTTTTCCTTCGGAGAATATTTGTCTTTTCACCCTTAAAGTGAACTTCAAATTGAGGTTTTTTTCCCTTGCTTGCATTAAGTTGGTAGTAGCCTGAACGACTCGTTAAGGAAAAATAATGCGTTTACTTTTAACAGCTTATTTGAGCCTCAACGCTTGGTTTTGTTCCTAGAAAGCCTTGCTCTTTGCCTTGACTTCTGGCCTTCAAGAATTTCCTAAACTTGTTAATGTTTCCATCCTTCCTTTCCCTGTTCCTAAACATTCCTCGCATACCAGTCTGTTATCTCTTCCTCCTGAAACTTATTCCCTTAAGCATAGTCCAAATGCACTGCACAGTAGTGTTCTTACCTGTAGTTAATAATCAGTTGTAGTGATTCGCGTTAGCTTCCTCGTTATTTCCCTATTTGTAATGTCATGAAGGCTAGCTTAGGGTAGCTTAAGTTTTCTTAGGATCTGGCTCCAGCACCTGGTACAATAAAACAACGAATGAGTTGGAGCTCAGAGGAAGGAACTTTTGAAGAAAAATATTAACTAGAGATGAGTTCATTCCTTTTTTATGAGAAATAGAGTTTTTAATAGAGGCCAGTCAGGCTCCACTTATCAAAGTGGATACTTTTTTTTTGTATTTTATCACATGAATAGGTGATTATACCAAAACACTTAGATGTAAATTAAATTGGTACATGTTTTTCAGTGTGTTAATTAACATAATGAACCAGTTGTGATATGTAAAAATTGGTAGGGTTATGTGTGGACAAACCTTTAAAAGGAAGAGGTAGACATGCCTTAGACTGTAAATTTTATCCACAGTTGTTTCTCTTTTCCCTCACTAAGCATTAGGGTAATGCAGCAAAGGTCTTTTATTTTTCTTTTGTTTAGTTTTTTGAGACAGGGTCTCACTTTGTATTCACTATGGCCTTGTATTCACTATGTAGCCTGGGCTGGCCTTCTACTCACTATGTAGTCCCAATCTTGCTCTGCTTTCTGAGTGCTGGGAGTACTGGTGCTTGCCCCCCTGCCCAGCAGCAAAATTCTTTATCTGGAGTAAGCATGCCGTTTTTATTTGTAATACAAATTTTAGGACTTTTTAGAAGCTTCATCAATGAGAACATTGTAGACTGATGAATGTTGCTACTTTTCAACATGATTCACTTGTTAATCAGGTAATTATTTTTGATTTCTGAAGACAAGTCAGATACTTAGAATATTATGTAACTTCAGTGCACCCATCAGTTTCATAAATTCTCTTCAGTCAGTGTGTTATCTAGCCAATCAACTTTATATTACCTGGGGAGAAATATTTTCACTGCACTCATTTAAGCAAATTTCTTAGTGTTTTTTGTTTGTTTGTTTATGAGATAAGGTCTTGTTGTGTAGTTCATGCTGGCAGTGAACTCAGTATATAGGCCAGGCTGGCCTTGTACTTCCAGTTATCCTTCCGTCTCTACCCCCCTGAGTGCAGTGATGACAGGCTAACATCACCATGCATGGCACTTAGCCATTTCCAGATCTCCTGCATTAAAAGTGGAGGGGAATGGGGCCTGGTGGTGCAAGCTCTGTCCCATTACCCTGGAGTGCTGAGGCAGGATTGGAAGTTTGAGCATAGACTGGATAGTTTAGCATCCAGTCAGAACCTGTCTCAAAAAATTAAGTATAAAGGATTAGGGACGTAGTTTACAGCAGAGGCCCAAAGTTCAGTCCCTAGGGAGGAGGGAGAATGGGTGAATGAAAACCTTTAATGAGGTACCAGACCTACCATGGTACTCACACTCTGTTGCTGGCTTAATAAACTGGTGCTTGATTCCTTCACTGCTCTCTTCTTGAGTGACTTAGTCTAGTGATCACTGCTTTTTCACTTCCTGAACTAATTTTGCAACCTACTCCAATGTAGTTTTCCTTCCTTAAAACTGATTGTACATGTAGTTAAATGAATCAACAGCTGTTAATGTCCACAAATTGTGAAATGTCTAGTCTGCGTCCCACCCTCCATTTTTTTTTTTTTTCCTGAAACAGTTTTTGTTGTTCCACTGGATTTTCCATGATATTGATCTTAGAGTACTGTACTTGTTCTTGAGTCTTCTAACGTGGTTTCCAACATTGCTTGCTCTTGTTTTTTTTTTTTTAATCTTTCTACCTCCTCTAGGCCTTGCCTTTTTACAGGATTTTTGTTTTTATTTTTGTTTTTAAGTGCTGCTCATTGAACCCAAAGCCTTGAACATGCATCCCTACTCTTAATACTGTCAATTCTTTAAATGCCCCTACTATTAGAGAAATTACTTAACTACCTATAAAATGGAAAGCTTGTATACTGTGTAGATATTAGCTAACTATTTCCTAGCAAATGCTTGGAAAGGCTTCTTGAATTCATGTGCTTTGGACTTAGGAGCAGCCTTTACACAGTAAGTCCCAGATCTCTATCTTCAGTTCAGACTTACATATTCAGCTAGTCTTAATCATTTGACTGGCCTACAGGCACATACTATTGAATTTATCTACTCCTCTTTGTCATTCACTTAATTAGTATTATGAAAACTGCCTTCTGCATGTAAACAGCTGGATATCTCAGAGACTTAAGTTTAATGTTTGTAAATTTATACCATCTACTTAATCTCTTCTCTCTTCAATTCTGTTTTTAATGGTTTTTAATGGTGGTGAGGTATGTAAAGAAACAGGCTCCTGAGAGTACATTTAGGCCAAATAAAAGTAGGAAAAGTAAGTATATCTTAGCATGAGGGTGGCCCCTCTTCAATTATCCTTTTGATAAACTCTCAGCATTTGAACCTTTAGGCCTTATTTATTTTACTTTTTATGCATTAGTGCATTGGATCCCTGCCAGTCTCTTTCTTTATTAAATACATCTTCCCTTTGGTTCTGCACTAATCTTAACTTTTTTATTTTTTTATTTTTGTTTTTTTCAGGTAAGACCTCACTAAGCAGTTCAGGCTGGCCTTGAACTCATTATGTACCCCAGGTTGGTCTTGAACTCTCAGCAATCCTCATGCGTTAGTCTCCCCTGTGCTAGGATAACAAGCATGAGCCACTACCCCAGCTGTTAATCTTCCTAAAGATGAATATCAGGTCACTGTGTTTAAGAACCTCTGTCAGATCTGTTCCCCTTTTCTACCCCTTCTTGTTATTGGAGATCAGATCTAGGACTTTGCACATGTTCCACAAGTATCCTACACTGGACTACATTAACCTTATTCCTTCTCTTTATGATTTAGACTAGATTGTGGGAAACTTTTCATACTGCCTTAAGTTCTGTTGGAACAAGGCTTATGTTCCTTCCATGTTCTGCATATGTCTTAATCACTGCCCAATAAAATCTCTGTTCAAATTTTTTTTTTTTTTTTTTGGTACCAGGGATTGAACTCACGACCTCATGCTTGCCAGGCAGGTGCTTGAACCACTGAGCTAAATCTTCCGCTAAAATCTTTCTTTCGTATCTTTCTCCCACTCAATTTTTATATTACCAGTAATTGGCGTTATTTTATATCTCAATAAACTATTGGAATTAATACCATCCATCACTAAGGTCTGGACTTCATCTTATGTTCTTCATACATTGCTCCTTTTTCTTGTTCCATTTTTGTGCCTAGGAAACTTCTGTTCCCTCTTTGAAGCCCCGCTCTGATGTCACCTCCATCTTGCCCTTCTAAAGTGTTTATTATAAGTTCTTTCAGCGTGTGCACGTGGGAATAACAGTGGGTTAGATTTTGAAATATCAAAACACGTTCATCTACAGGAACATCATTGAAGAATGAAGTGCATAGTATTCCTGAATTTTAGTGTCAGAACTAAATAAAGATTATTTCAGTGCAGATGAATTCTTTTCCACTCTAATTCTTTTTTTGTTTGTTTTTGAGACAAGGTTCACTATGCAATTCAGGCTGGCTTTGAACTTACTATATAGCACAGGTTGGTGCTGAATTTGCAACAATTGTCCTGCCTCATTATCAAGAGTGTGGGAATTACAGGGATGTGCCAAGCCCCAGCTGTCCCCTTACATTCTATTTCAAATACCAAACCCATTTTTAAATGTGCCAGGTTTATTAAAGTATGAACTCAGCAAAGGTCAGCTTTGTTAGATTCATGTGTTGGGGAGGTAATAAGAAACAATGTCTTTGTTCTGACCTCTCTTTTAATGCTGGTTCCTGCTTTTTGGTAGAAGACTCAGGTTAGAGAGTGAAAAGGGCATGGCATTGTTAGTTGTTTTTCAAATTATGATGGGTCCTTAAGGGCCAAAGTTGATGGAAAGTGTTAAGCTTTAGAATAGATCATTTTAAGAGCCTGGAATGCTCAGTGGTAAAGCACTTGCCTAGCATCAGTGAACAATTTATATTTCAGGGCTGGGAATTTTGCTCAGTGGCATAGGCACCTGCCTGGCAAGTACAAGGTCATGAGTTTGATTCCCAGTACTAAAAACAAACAGACAAACAAACAAACAAAAATAAATGAATTTCATATGCTGGGGATGAACGAATTTCATCCTGACTGATTGTTTTGTTTGTCTTTATCTTTTGGTAAAATAATTGAACTCACTGAGCGATATCCTTATCCCTGTGTCTTTATTTTTGAGATACCTTTATTTTTGACATGCTTTAATGAACCTGTCACATTTAAAAATGGGTTTGGTAGTTTAAACAGAATGCATTCCCCAGGTTGGACTTGAGCTCTTGGGCTCAGGATTCTCCTGCCTCAGCCTTTCAGGTACATTGCTGGGACTGTAACTGGGACTGTGGACCTTGGCGCTGCACTTAGCTAATTGTTTTATATGTTTTGTATTTTTTAGTATTAACAGAAAAAGTTACAAAAGAGTAAAGAAATTCAGTTTCAACTCTCATGTTAGCCCGTTAATTATTGCTCTGTGAATATAGAATGAGCAGACTTCTTTATTTTTTC